AAATTTACCCACTTATATAAAGGAGGCGGACTAAGATGGGAGTTTCTTGTAGGTTTTGTGTTTTGAAAAAACTTTTCAGTGTATCCTATTTGATGATACGAATATAACTACACTAAAGTCCATGCTCTACTAATCCTGTAGCTTGGGATAATTGAAAAAAAAAAAAAAAAAAACAAACAACTGTGGACAGATGATGACCATGAATCAAGAATTCAGAATGACAAAGTACTTAAATATAACTTTCTTTTTCAATAAGACTCATCACATAGAAAATGATCCCCTGACATGGATGCAGATCAACAGTATATTGGCTGGGATTTATTTTCCAGAATGCCCATTTTTCTAGATGTAGTCAGGTCAAGCAATTGAAGACATAACTTAGGACTAGTTTTGCATCAGGAGAAAATTGTTTCAGATGAATTCAGAATATTTAAACTTTGACAACAGATTATGAGGAACATACCTACATGGGTATGGACTGAACTCAATTCTATTATTTCCTCTAATATCACCTTAGAAAATACATCAGTCCTTATATAATGGGGGAAAAAATCTACAGCCAGACTTTTCCTTTAGTTTAGTACTATAATTTCTTACTTACCTACACCTACTATTTATTCATTGCCATAGGTTCTTTACCTCTCTGTCATGTATATGATTTTGTTTTACCCTAAAAACCTATTTACCACCTTCATTTAATTAGCACCTCATTTTGCATAAGAAGAAAGGGAAGCACAGCTCTCAGGTTCAGTTTTGGACTTACTGAGATGCAACGGTTACTATGAGTTCTCAAACCAGTGTGTTTAATTTTCTTAAATAATCTAATTCTCTTAAAGAAAAAGCATCCCAACACCTAAAGCAAAATCCTCAAAAAAATTTAGTGGATTCATTGGGAACTTAAAGTCTTTTGTTGCTTATTAATTAATGATGGAGAAGACATGTTTGATGATTAACACAAAGGTATCATTCAATAACAGATACTGCCAACAATTTGATAGTTTTTACTAGATTTTCTTGGATTTGTCTCTACTGCAAGATGTTATATTTGAGAAAGGATTATATTCATTCAACTTAAACCTTGGTTTACTTCATTTTAATCTTTTTTTTTCCCTTCAGAATGAGAAAGCTACATTTATCAATAATGTCATTGTAGAGAATGAACCTATTTTGTGGCTATAAAATTAGCGCTACAAGCAGTGCAATTGTCCAAATCACGGTTCCATGCCAGATTTACAGGGCATGAAGGATATAGTGATTTAGAGAGAACAAGAAATAACATAGGGGTGTGGGGTGTCATTCTAAGAGGTTCCCTTCATCTAAGAAAACTGATGCACTTAGGGAATTAGCAAAGGGAAGCCACTTCACCCACTCAGTGCTGCAACCTTGTTGGTTTTCAGAACTAATCAAGGTAAAAACAGGTGGGTATATGTAATCAGCAGCTTTTAGCACACCTGGTGGTCTACAAATTGGGTTTGACTGGCTGGGACACCTTTTGGTTGAAACCAGAAATGGAGTTTTTGAGTAGAGGTCCACCAAGTTGTGTTTTTCACCTTTAGTTTAACTCTCCCCCATAATTACCAGAAATATATTTCTCTCTCATGTACTTTAACTTTTTTTTTTTTTCTGTTGGAATTATTTGTCAACTTTCAAATTAGGTGACAGCATTCAATGGGCCACTTGGGAATTTGGGACAGAAGTACTAGAGTCTGTACTATTTTGGTATTGCAAATAATATTTCTAATGTATTCACTGTTTATTATGTTGGTTTTGTGTTGTTAAGGATTGCGACTAGAAATATATGATGTGACTTCTAAAAAATTTTTTGAAATGCTTCAACCTTTATCTCTGATCTCTGTTTTCTCGTTTTCATTCATTTTTCTTTCATTAGATATTTTTCACCTCCTCTCCATTTCTTGTCATAGAGCAA